TTTAAAGTCGAAAGATTTCCTGGCGTAGTAGGAGGGGCCAAAATGGCCAGTGCTTGAATCGGGATTCGTGCTTGAATCAGGGGTTGTGCTTGAATCGGGTGTGCTTGAATCACAGTGATTGAAGTGCGAGCGCTTGAAACACTACTCGTGTTTGTAGCGCCAGTGCTTGACCGGCGTCAGTGCTTGAACTGCTCCGGTGCTTGAAGCAGGGTTTGAGTCGTGTGTGCTTGAATCCCGCGTGCTTGAATCACCAGTGCTTGAACAACGAGTGCTTGAACCGAAGTATCGTGACAAGTGCTTGAAGCGGACTTCTGGGCAAGAAAAATCGCCTGCGCACCTACATGCAGCCAGGGAGCACATCTTGTAGCGCACTTGCTTGCCGTTTCGATCGTACCTCGTGCACGAAACAAAAGAAGAATCAAGAACCTGAGAGTGGCTGCGGCTAAGCCGTTGAGCACCACAAGCTACGCAGTGGCATCATGAAGGGTTTAGGGTTTAGGGTTTAGGGTTTAGGGTTTAGGGTTTAGGGTTTAGGGTTTAGGGTTTAGGGTTTAGGGTTTAGGGTTTAGGGTTTAGGGTTTAGGGTTTAGGGTTTAGGGTTTAGGGGCCACCCCGAATCCCAAACCCTACATTCCATTTCTGGATGCAAGCAAGTTGCTCAAGCTCCAAGCACTGCTTCACTGAGAGCCCATTGCACATATCCTGTGGAACACCGAGCTCTGCAGCTGCAGGCAAACCTACGCTTTGGGGGTTGCTGGGTACGGACTATGGCGCATCCGAGAAGTAGTAAGGCTGTGACGCTGCGCTTGTTGTTGGAGTCGCACCCATTCACCACCTGCACACACACACACATACACAGGCACAGACACGGAGAAGGGGCAGAGATCCGGACATAGATCCCCCATCAGTGAGTGTGTTCATGGGCCCTAAGTTATAGTCTGTAGGGGCGGGCGGTTCAAGGCGGGTTCGTAACGCAAGGTCGCAAGGTGCCCGAATACTCCCCACTCCCAAGCGCTCCCGAAGTTTCCCTAAGGTTCCTCAGATACCTACTCCCCAGGAGCCCCCCCCTCCCTTAAGGGCCCTATGACACGAGGAGCCTCCGTCCGCTTGATGGTCGCGTCCAGTGGCGGCTTCACGGTCCCTGGGACGGTCGGGCTTCAGGAGTTGTGGGTGAAGGTGACACAGGATGCTGACATCCCTTGCGGAGTGCGTATAAAGGTCCTGAAAAATGAGGCCGTGTAGAACACCCCCACCCCTCCTCAAAAAAAACACTCCAAAACTCTAAAGCCCTAAACCCCATTAACCCCTAAACCCTAACTGAACCCCAACTGAACCCTAACTGAAACCCTAACTGAAACCCGAACTGAAACCCGAACTAAACTCCCAAACACCCACAACCCTAAACCCTAATCCCTAAACCCTAAAGGTCAACCATGGCAGGGCACCGGGCTCCCCACCTGTGCGTGCCTTGGCTCTTTTGGCCGGGCCGGCTTCCTGGGCGGTTTGGGGTTTAGGGCTAGGGTTTAGGGTTTAGGGTTTAGGGTTTAGGGTTTAGGGTTTAGGGTTTAGGGTTTAGGGTTTAGGGTTTAGGGTTTAGGGTTTAGGGTTTAGGGTTTAGGGTTTAGGGTTTAGGGTTTAGGGTTTAGGGTTTAGGGTTTATGGGTTAGGGTTTAGGGTTTAGGGTTTAGGGTTTAGGGTTTAGGGTTTAGGGTTTAGGGTTTAGGGTTTAGGGTTTAGGGTTTAGGGTTTAGGGTTTAGGGTTTAGGGTTTAGGGTTTAGGGTTTAGGGTTTAGGGTTTAGGGTTGGGTTCTTTCGGGTTTAGCGGCTAGCCCCCAAATAACCCTAAGCCCTAGATGACCCTAAAAGCCCTAAGGCCTAAGACCCCAAGAAACAGCCCTAAAAATTGAATCCTATTCAGAGAAGCCCTACTATCAATCCCATGGTCAACGAAAAAAACCCAACCCTAACACACTAAAGCCCTAAAAACCCTAAACCCCCCAAAGCCTAGAAACCCTAAAACCTGAAACCCTTTAGATCCCTAAAGCCCTAAAACGCTGAAAAGCCAACAAACAAGCGAAACCCTCATACCCTAGCCCCAAAACCCTAAATCCTAAACATGAAACTCTAAAAGCCCCAAAAACCCAAACCCTGAAAAGCCCTAAACCGTAAAGCCCTAAACCCCAAAGAGCCCTAAACCCTAAAACCCTACAACCCCTAAATAGCCCCTAAGCCCTAAACCCTAAAACCTAGATACAATACACCTAAACCTCGAATAGCCCTGGACAATATATAACCCCCAAAGAGCCCTACACCCTAAATAGTCCTGAACCCTAACACCATAGAAACCCTAAATAGCCCTAGACCCGAAACCCTAAATACCTGAAACCCCTAAACTCCTAAAAGCCCTCCTGACTAGCCCTAAACCCCAAACCCTAAAAACCCTAAACCCGAAACGACCCTATATAAACCCTAGACCCTAAGAACCCTAAATAGCCCTAAACCCTAGACCCTAAAACCCTAACAGCCCAAACCCTAAAAACCCTCGAGAAACCCCAAACTGCCCTAAGAAGCTTCAAGCCTGAAAACGCTACCCTAAATCCTAAACCCTAAATAGCCCTAAACCCTAAACCCCTAAAAACCCTAAACCCTGAATAGCCCAAATAGCGAAAAACCCTCTAGAACCTCCTAAGTAGCCCTAAACCCTAAACCCCTAAACCCTAAACCCCTAAACCCTAAACCCTAAACCCCTAGGAGCTTCAGGCCCCGGCCTCGTCCGGGGCGGGGCGCTTGACGGGTGTCGCACGGTGGCCCGCTGCGGCTCCTGGGAAGACAACGCTGGGTTTAGGGTTTAGGGTTTAGGGTTTAGGGTTTAGGGTTTAGGGTTTAGGGTTTAGGGTTTAGGGTTTAGGGTTTAGGGCTATAGGGTTTATAGCAGTCATAGGATGTATTTAGGGTTTAGGGGTTTCGGGTTTAGGGCTATAGGATTGATAGGATTCATGGGATGTATAGGGGGCTATAGGATTCATAGGTTTTATCGGATTTACAGGGCTCAGGGTTCAAGACTCTTACAGGGTTGGTTCTTGAGGGGGGGGGGGGGAGGCTATCACTCAGTTTTGGATTAGTTGAGGGGTTGCTTGCGGAGGGTGTTGGGGCTTAAATCTTTACGGTTTGGTGTTTATGGACTTGGGGCTATGAAGGTTTAGGGCTTAGGGCTTTTGGATACAGTTTCGCATCTACAGGGCTTAGGGCCTTTGCATTGCCAGATTTCGGTTCGTTGTTAGAACCTTAATAGTTTTGGGCTGTGAGGGTGTTGATGGTCGATTTCAGGTGTTGGGCGGTGTTGAGTTCCTGCGTTAGTGGATGACGGGAGGTGCTCATGTTCAGGGGTTCGGGTTTAGGGTTTAGGGTTTAGGGTTTAGGGTTTAGGGTTTAGGGTTTAGGGTTTAGGGTTTAGGGTTTAGGGTTTAGGGTTTAGGGTTTAGGGTTTAGGGTTTAGGGTTTAGGTTTTAGGCTTAGGGCTTAGGGCTTAGGGTTTAGGGTTTAGGGTTTAGGGTTCAGGGTTCAGGGTTCAGGGTTCAGGGGTTCGGGTTTAGGGTTTTTGGGATTCCACACTGCCATGTCTCCTTCCACGGAGCTCATGTCATCGTAGATGTTAAAGCCTTCCTCATCGCAGCCTGGCGCAGCTGGTCGAAACAAGGCAACCAGACTTACAAGCCAAGCAAGCGCATGAAATCACCAAAGCACGCCATGGCCCGCCAAGAGTCACAAGCCATGTGGGCTCATATGGCCAGTGTACTGAATCATGCCACCCACAAAAAGCTGGGCAGTTCAGTCAACCCACCATCATAACATCTCCAACAACAGTCGACATCCAAAGGTACTCTGACAACAGAGTTTGCACCCTAAAACTCAAAAATACACTAAAAAACAAGAATACCCTCAAAACCGAACCCTGCAAATAAACAGGCCGACGCCACAACCCAGCAGCATGTCGGCAAGGTTCGTCCACGATGAAGAGGCCATGGGCGCAGTTTTCGAAAGGTCACGCTGTTGGGACGCGCAGAAACCCTACAACCCTAAACCCGAACACTTTGCGTGGACCTTTCCCTACAACTTCCGAAGCTGCTTGAAACTACCCGCAATAAGAACCCAGAGACTCTAAAACCCCTTAATTAAGGAATATACCTTAAATTATAATAGGAACCCTAGTATGATTTAAGGTATATTCCTTAATTAAGGGGTTTTGGAGTCTCTGGGAAAGTTGCGACCGCAACGTTCCCTTTAGGCGTGGCCAAAATGGCTGCACAAGGGGCGAGTTGCCAATCCTGGGGAAGCCATGGAGCGCGAGATCCCCAAAATTAAGAAAAATCTACCCCCTAAACCCTAAACCCTAAACCCTAAACCCTAAACCCTAAACCCTAAACCCTAAACCCTAAACCCTGAACCCTTAAGATGATGACCCCATGAAAAGTTGAGGACTCTGTTTCTTACTTCACGCACGCGGGCGTTCGCGGCAGCCCCGCCCCTCCCCCCCCCCCCTGCAAAAAGAAGAACGAAGCGCGACAAAAGATATGGCGGGCGCAGATTATTTGCACGCTTTAACAATAACATCTGGTCAGCCACCTGACAGAAGCAGCCCTATGAGCATCATCATTCTGCCATCAGAATAACTATCGTCATGGTTGTCCTGCCACTTATGCTGGCAGCATATGACCGGAAACAGGTTCAGTGTTGAGCAAGCAGCCATGGCACACCTGCCTTTCGGGTGATTTTTCCCGAGGCCTGTAACTACCACCAACTGCCCCCCACTTACTCGAGATGCAGCCCTGAACGTTCTTTGGAGGCATATGACCATGCTATTTTGAAAAAAATAGTTTTTCATATACCTATGAATAATATATATATATATATATATATATACTGTATACATACACATATATGAACATGTCATACTACATAAAGACAGAGACAGTGAGACAGTGAGACAGTGAGACGGAAAATTACAGTTCTTGCAACAAACGTGCCACTTCCATGTGGCCGCTCTGAGCTGCGATGACAAGTGGCGTGGTTCCATCTGCGTTGGCCAGGTCTTTGTTCGCACCAAGCTCTAGCAACAAGCGCGCCACTTCCAAGTGGCCGTTCTGAGCTGCGACGTAAAGTGGCGTGTCTCCGGTTGCTGCGGCCAGGTCCTTGTCCGCTCCAAACTCCAGCAACAAACGTGCCACTTCCAAGTGGCCGTTCCCGACTGCGATGAAGAGAGGCGTGGCTCCGGTTGCAGCGGCCAAGTCCTTGTCCGCACCAAATTCAAGCAACAAACGTGCCACTTCCAAGTGGCCGTTCTGAGCTGCCATGAAAAGCGGCGTGGCTCGATTTGCTGTGGTCAGGTCCTTGTCCGCACCAAGCTCCAGCAACAAACGTGCTACTTCCAAGTGGCCGTTCCCAGCTGCGACGAAAAGCGGCGTGGCTCGACTTGGTATGGCCAGGTCCTTGTCCGCACCGAATTGCAGCAACAAGCGCGCCACTTCCAAGTGGCCGTGCTGAGCTGCGAGGAAAAGAGGCGTGGCTCCATCTGCGTTGACCAGGTCCTTTTCGGCTCCAAACCCCAGCAACAAGCGCGCCACTTCCAAGTGGTCATGCTGAGCTGCCATGAACAGTGGTGTGTCTCCATCGTCATCAGTTTGGTCGGTTCCCGCACCAGCTTCGAGCAGCAGCCCTGTGGCGACTTCCCTGCCAGACCTAGCTGCAACATGTAAGGCTGTCATGTTGTGTTGCGCCGTTCGGTTTGGATCTTGGGGTCGCTGCAAGATTGCTTCTAGTTGTGTTGCGTCGTCGTCTAGCACTGCATAGATCAGCCTGTCAATATGATCGCCTGAGGTTTCAGCAAAGTCCAAGATTACCAGGTGCAGCAGGCAAGGTGTTTCCAGAACCGCCTCTTCAGGCAAAATTCGCCCGTCTTCTTGCAGGAGCCGTTGTCGAAACCGGGGTTGCCCACAGAGCCCTTGGAGACGGAGCTTCAGGGCGCGCACGTGGCCCGTAGCAGTGTCGCCGGTAACGCACAGGAACTCCTCCTCCGACAGGCAAGCCACCTCCTGGCCAGTAGCCATCATCTGCACCCGCAACATTGCTGCACTGAAGCGGGATGTCACTCGGTCCCTACTGGGCTGATTCAACAATCGCGAGAGAGAGAGAGAGAGAGAGAGAGAATGTATGCATACTCCTGTACATGTATATGGGGGTTTACGAAAATAGGGGACCCGAAAATGAACCCCCCAAAAAGTACAATCCCTTACAATAAGCACTCCAATAAGGTACCCCGAATTTCGGAAACCCACATGTACTATAAAACTGGTTTAGGGTTTAGGGTTTAGGGTTTAGGGCATGTACCTTGTAACTATATACTTGGGCCCCAAAGTCCCTAAATAGGAGGTGCTTGAAGGCCCAAGTCTTCCCTATTTAAACCTTAACCCAAAACCCTAAACCCGAACCCCTAACCGTTAAACTCCAAACCCCTAAACTCTACAACCCCTAACTCTACACCCTAACTCCTAAACCCTATATAATGTTGGAGAGTGGGGGAAGCAAGCCTGAGTTTCACAGTTTAGGGTTTAGGGTTTAGGGTTTAGGTTTTTTGTTCGGGCTCCTTGGCCCGTCACTACGCCCACACCAAGATGATCTCATAAGCCCTAAACCCCAACTCCATCGACTTAACACGGCAAACCCACACTAAGGCCTGCAGAGCTTCATTGGGTTTTTTTAGGGTTTAGGGTTTAGGGTTTAGGGTTTAGGGTTTAGGGTTTAGGGTTGGGCTTATAGGGTTTACAGGGTTCATCGGGTTCATAGGGTCTAGGGTTAAGGAGAAGCCTGGAAAAAACCGATGTTACTTTCAAGGTACCCGCTTCAACAGACCAGACCAACACCGAGCTGCGAAGCCATAACCCCAGCCATAACCCCAAACCCCAAACCCCAAACCCTGCACCCCGAACCTTTCAGGGCTTGAGGGGCTTGGATTTGACAGTTTCTGACCGGAACCCACGGATAAATTGGATCAAGACCGAGTGATGCGAGATGCTAGTGTTGCGCATCGGTAGCCGCTCTCAGCTTTTTTTGCCAACTGATGGCAGCAGGCGTGCCGCGCCTCTTGCGCGGGCGTGCGCGAAGGTGACGGCCAGCTCCGAAGAGCATACACATCAGGTACCTTTCGGAGCTGAAACTCACACCCTAAACCCTAAACCCTGAACCCTAAACCCTGAACCCTGAACCCTAAACCCTAAACCCTGACCTCGGGATTCAGAGTTCATTCTCCCTCAACACGAAAGCTCCCAGCCCATCTCCTTTCTTACATAGAAGCGGTTTAGGGGGTTTAGGGTTTAGGGTTAGTGCTTCAGGGGGGATTGGTGTGTGTGTGTGTGTGCAACTTTTGACATTGATGCCTAACTTAAAGGCTCACGGGTTGTTGCTACTGAGTTGTAGCTAGGTAAGTAACGGCAAGTAGGATGACTTTGACCACAACTGTGAGATTCTGGCAGCGTGGGGGGGGGGGGGGGGGGCAGGGGATGGGCTCACCCTACTTCACAACTACTAGCACAGACCTGCAAGAACGGAGTCAGAGTCTCGACTCGGGGTCCTTCTGAGTTGAGGGTTTAGGGTTTAGGGTTGAGGGTCATAGATACTGAGGGCCGAGTTCTTTCTTTCTTGGGGCCACTGTTTTGGCCATGGTGTCGGGTTCCAAATCCTGAGATGGGAGATAGGACGCCAGCCCGATGCCTGGATGTCGTCGGGGTCAGCCGTGCAGTGTGTAGGGTGGGTTCAGGGTTTAGGGTTCAGGGTTCAGGGTTCAGGGTTTAGGGTTTAGGGTTTAGGGTTTAGGGTTTAGGGTTTAGGGTTTAGGGTTTAGGGTTTAGGGTTTAGGGTTTAGGGTTTAGGGTTTAGGGTTTAGGGTTTAGGGTTTAGGGTTTAGGCTTTCGGGCTCGGTGTGTTGGGTACCCGTAGCTGTAGCTGGTAGTAATCATTTTTTCCGGCTCTCCTAGCCCAACTTATATGACTGCCCAAAGAAACTTCAAACTTATAGATACCAAGAATGAACCCTACGCATAACGACCCAGTTAGAACCCTACTCATAGCTATATTTGGCTTCCGGCACCTGGAACGTTAACGGAAAAAGGGGCAAACCATCCATTCGCTTGCTCTGGTGACTTAATCTAACTTCCTCAATAGGAAGACCAGGTTTAGGGTTCAGGGTAGCCAAAGCCCAAGGGGCCCAAAGGCAACTAACAGTGAGCCGCGCACATGAAAACCTGGACTTGGAGTTTCGGCTTTCGGTTTTCGGGCTTTTTGGGTTCAGAGTCTTCGGATTCAGGGTTCTGCCCGAAGCCGTCTCAAGCCGGCCGGGATGCTTCCGCGCAAGCCGATCTGTCCTGCTTGCGCTTTGGATCTGGGTATATCTGGGTGGCCTCTTGTTCTGGCGGTTAAGCTATCAACCCTAACCATTTCAAGATGCGACTCCCTAGTTGAGACCTCTGTTTAACTGCAGAGGCCCTTGTGAAGGTGCCCTCATCAGCAAGACATCAGAGCATGGCAAGCCTTAGGACTAAGAAGGCACTTTCGATGATTCATGGGTACTTCGAAGTGGGGATATCAGACGGGTGGCTGTGGCTTACAGCTTATTTGAACCCATGAAAACCTTTCTACGTATATCTGCCCATGAAGCTCCAGGTAGATCTTCCATGCCGTGCCGAACTGCCGGAAAACACAAACATGGGCTCCTTGGCCTAGAACCCGGCCATCAACCCCTAACCATCACTAAAAAGCCCTCCCTAAACCCTAAACCCTAAACCCTAAGCCCTAAGCCCTAAACCCTGAACCCTGAACCCTAACCCTAAACCCTAAACCCTAAACCCTAAACCCTAAACCCTAAACCCTAAACCCTAAACCCTAAACCCTAAACCCTAAACCCTAAACCCTAAACCCTAAACCCTAAACCCTAAACCCAAACCCAAAACCCAAAACTCTAAACCCTAAACCCAACATGAGCTGCGAAAGGGCTGAGCAACTCCCAAACTCCACACTCCGAGAGGCCTCAACACCCCTGCGGGCGCAAGCAAAGAAGAAGCTCCAGTCCAGAGCCCTGCTCACACGTGAGCCCCCCTAAACTCCCTAAACCCACCTAAAACCCCCAACACCCCCCAAACCCTAAACCCTAAACCCTCAACCCAAATTTCTTCCCCCCGCCCCTCATGTTTCCGTAAAAAAAGCTCTCCCGATTCTGGGCCTTCAAAGGCCCAGTCAGAGCCCATCCTTGCCACCCTGGAACTTCGCCAGCCTGGCTGTAGGGTTTAGGGTTTAGGGTTTAGGGTTTAGGGTTTAGGGTTTAGGGTTTAGGGTTTAGGGTTTAGGGTTTAGGGTTTAGGGTTTAGGGTTTAGGGTTTAGGGTTTAGGGTTTAGGGTTTAGGAGGACGTCTGGAAGGGAGTGGAGGGTCTTAGGGTGCCTCGGGCTTTAGGGTGCTAGGGTCCTAGGGCTTTTGAGGGTTCTTTCAGGGTTTCTTAGGTTTTTTTTTTTTCGGGGGGGGGGGAAGGTGTTAGGGTTTCAGAGTTTCAGGGTTTTGTGTTAGTTTGGGCGTTGATATCCTAAACGCCCCGGGACATGATGTTTACTGGCATTTGCTGCTGGAACCAGGGCGTCTTGGGCGGTTGAAGCCCCTTCTTGCGGTTTAGGGTTTAGGGTTAGGGGTTAGGGTTCCTCAACAACTAGCCAAAGGAGTAGCTTATCAAATAAGCCAGCTTTCCGAGGAGAAGGGCAGCGGTCGACCCTGAACCCTCACACCCTGAAACCCTGAGACCCTGAAACCCTCCATCCCTCAAACCCTCCAACCCTCAAGCCTCGACTCCAAACTCCCAGAACCAAACCCGACCCCCGGTCCCGGTTACCACCCAGAAGGCTCCTAAACCCTAAACCCTAAACCCTAAGCCCTAAACCCTAAACCCTAAACCCTAAACCCTAAACCCTAAACCCTAAGCCCTAAGCCCTAAACCCTAAACCCTAAACCCTAAACCCTAAACCCTAAACCCTAAACCCTCATGGCAAGGGGCTTCTCGGCATAGTGCTCGGGATGCCGCTCCACGTGAGCTACCAGCTCCTGGGCGGGTACAGGCGTTTGGGGTTTAGGGTTTAGGGTTAGGGTTTAGGGTTTAGGGTTTAGGGTTTAGGGTTTAGGGTTTAGGGTTTAGGGCTTAGGGTTTAGGGCTTAGGGCTTAGGGTTTAGGGTTTAGGGTTTAGGGTTTAGGGTTTAGGGTTTAGGGTTTAGGCTTTCGGGTTTAGGGTTTAAGGTTTAGGGTTTAGGGTTTAGGGTCTAGGGCTTAAGGTTGGAGGGTTGAAGGCTTAGGGTTGAGGGTAGAGGGTTGATTGTTTTGGGTTGAGGGTGTTGGTGTTTGGGGTGTGCAATGGATTTGGGGTTTAGGAATTGGGGTTAAGGGCTGAGGGTTCCGGGTTTAGGGTTGGTATGGCGCATTGTTAAAGGGTCATGACGAATGGTGAGCAGCGGGCAAAAAGTTCATCATCGTAGAACTCTCATTGCAACTATTCCATTCAGCCTCCTTATCGAGCTAGCATGTTTCGGAAACTCGGGGGTTGTTGAGCGTCCACAAACAAGAGAGCTGGAATGAGCGAGAGATCGCGAGAGAGAGAGAGTGTAGAGAGGCAGAGAGAGAGAGAGAGTGAGAGAGAGACAGAGAGAGATGTAAGGCATGCTTAGTACAAGCATTTTGGAGGCTTATCTGCGGGAATCTGTCACTCAAAATAATAACACCTTACAGCCAGCAGCCCCAAACCCCACGGCGGCAGCGTCCTGGCGCTGCCTCTCAAGCTCGGGTGTTAGCTCGGCCCAGACGTCCCGGAACATGTCCTGACAGGGTGGGGGTGAAAACTTTTCGGGCTTTCCGGCGTGGGAATTGTGGCACCCCTCCCCGAAGTTGCGAAAGCTGTAGGAAACCTGCGTAGGCGAGCAGCCCGCCCGAGACCGGATCCTTCTATAGCACCGAGGCTTGGGATCTTCCCCTTATACTAACAGTCCTTTGTAGGGCTTGTAGTACCCCCTATTAAAATCCCTTTGAAGGACTGCGAATATCA